GTGTGTATGATTATGTAATTATTAAAGAAAACAATTTTGAAATGATATTTTTAATATGGTTCAATTTTTATTTCTAACAATTTAAAATAAACATTTTCCAAATTACTAATATTCAACAAATCAGAATATGTAAAAATAATCTCACACACACACACACACACACACACACACACACACACAAAAAGATAAAAATATCTATGTAACAAGAAGGAATGAGGGTAATAAGAATTAGGTCCCCATGTTATATTTGATTTGAATTTATTATTTAGACAGGGATCAGTGCTATAGTATTCATTTGTATTGCATACATGCATACAATTAAAACAGACCTTATCCATGAATTGTTACTTTACTAACTTTTGAAATAGGTTGGGTCATTTTTCTCTCATAATAAACAATTCGTTTTCTTTTATTACAAGTGTATTTGTGAATGATAAACAGTTGGAATACATTTAAGTATTAAATATGAGTTAAAAAAAAAGTATTGTATGTTGTACATATTTACACAACATACTTTTTTTTTTCAATTGAGCCAGTCAGTCTATATTATGGTTGACTATGATGCAGGAGAATAACCTTTTATACAATGGTGATCATTTTAATGTATTCCATATCTAATTTATTTACCCAGGCTAGACTTTCAGCCTGTCTCACAATAATTAAACATAATTCACAGTAAAGAACAAAACAAACACAAAGATAAGTCCACCTCGGAGCCTCCTGTTTTTGGGCCTTTTATCCCCCACATCCTGGCAGCGAGACATCAGATATTATAAGATAATTAAAAAGCCTGTGGAGCGATTACGTTATTCTGACACGTCGGGGGCAGCAATGGCAGCCCAAAACCTGGCTTCAGTAATCTCCCAAATATGGAGCGCTGGCCTCGTCCAATCACATGACCTGATCTGCTCAGCTCCCACAGATACAAGCGAGTTCAAGTGGAGTTCATCATGGCGGCCATGGCGGAAGGTCTACTGGATGCGACGGCACAATGTCAGCCACACTGAAGTTAGTTTTGCTTCTGAACTCTCTCTGCGGCCTTGTACCTATTGAGAAGAACATTGTCATGAGGCTTTCAGATCTTTTCTCATCTACATCACTGATTTGTTTCTTTATATACTTATTTCATAGCAGTTGATTTCTCATGACGTTTGCACCTCTTCAAACACACTCTGGCAATACTTGCACTGTACATTCCTCTAATCCTGATCTCCTAAAAATGCTTTTCCATGCCCTGAGCCACCGCAAACACAAACCCAGTTATTGAATTCCCTAATAGAGTAATCTGTGTTTGCCCTGGTTTTGCATGTGGCGTTTGACTGGGACACTGCTGCCATCAGCAGGGCAGTGAGTGTGCCCTGCTCTTTAAAGCAGGCACATCAATCAGAACACACAGTCCTACATTAGGCTCTACAGATTCCTCACTAGGGACTATTTTCTTTCCACATCAACTTTCCCCCTGTGATGCAGGAACATGTGAAGTGGGAGCAGGACAGTCCGTCTCGTGTGAAAACTGTTCCTATTCCCCTGCGCGTTCTTCATCTCCGCTGAGAGCATTAAAGTCATAATACCTCTGGGGGCAAAACCCCGCCTCTGACACAGACTGCAAACCTTTCACCCATTAATGCTGTCAAGCAACGGCTGCAGAGCCGTAACTAAACCAGGCCACAGTGTGTTGTCATCATATCGTTATGTGCTGCTTTTCTCTCACTGAAAGCTGTCCGATTGAATTTACAAGTTGTTTGTGTTTCAGCTCCTTTATGTGCCATTAACAACATATCCTCTCTGAATATGTTCAGTGAGTATGGTCTGTGTGTGTGTGTGTTTGTGTGTGTGTGTGTGTGTGTGTGTGTGTGTAAAAGTATTAACATCACACTGCAAAAAATACTCCATGACAAGTAAAAGTCTATGTTAAAGTGGTACAGGAGTAGTGGTAGCAGTGTTGCAAGTAATATGCAGTTACTTTATCTAAGCAAAAGCAATAATAACATAATTCAAAAATACTTGTCTAACAAATATCATGCATTAAAAATCTTTAGTATTATCAGCAAAATGTACTTTGAGTAGTAACATATTTTATTAGCTGATGTAAAATCTTAATCTGAAAAGTCAGCTGTTAAATACATTTACTAGTACAGCACTGGCACTATAAGGCCACGTCTGACTAGAGAACAAGATATATAAAATGTGATAAGAGATATAAAAGCTCACAGCAGTGATCAAAGAAAGTCCAGATATAAAAACAGCAGGTCAGTCTGTGAAGCGAAAATGAGATTAAACAAGTGATTTAAAGGATAATACAATCTTGTTTGAGCGTATAGTACAGGATGCATTATGGAAAAATAATCTGACGGCCTCCTATTTAGAATCAATCAAATCAAGCCACCATTCATCTCATATAAGCTTATACACTGTAATCATATATATATGCGTAATCATATA